GAACCTCCCTATGCCTGGATTTTACAATCAAATCCACTTATAGTGCTGAAGTTCCCCCCGAAGGGGAACTGCAAACTATCTTCAGTAAATTTTTCATTTTTAATTGCATCTTCGACTCTGAGTCTTCTCTTCATCTGACACACCAGACTTTTATTTAAACTGTTTATTCAAATCTCCCAACAGTTTTTGCCTTTTATTCATGTTTTCCCCTCGGGGTTGTTTATTTTCCCTTTTATTTAATTTTATTATAAATAAATAACCTTTCACTCTGCATTTGGGTCCTCGCTCCTTTTTCCCCATTTCCCCTCACCTACCCTGACACCTCTATAAGTTGTTTCAACTGTGTGGTGTAAAAAGTGCTGCAAATTATGACAACTCAAAAACTTCTCCAGTAACGTTTACAATATTTTAAGTACTCTAACTCAAAGCTAGGCTACTTTACAATTGTTTTACTCTCCCATACTTTTCAATGAAACGTTAACATCCAGATGGACGGGGCAACCATTACTGCATCCAAAATGGTGAAAAGCCTTGGAGTAACAATTGATGACCAACTAAACTTCTCTGACCACATTTCTAGAACTGCTCGATCGTGCAGATTCGCACTCTATAACATCAGAAAGATCCGACCCTTTCCTATCTGAACATGCAGCTCAACTCCTTGTTCAAGCTCTTTTTCTGCCAGTTGCTGCTCGCATCAAATTCAAAGCTCTGATGTTTGCTTACAAAGCGACTTCTGGCTTTGCTCCTTCTTATCTGCTCTCACTTCTGCAGATCTATGTGCCCTCCAGAAACTTGCGTTCTGTGAATGAACGTCGCCTCGTGGTTCCATCCCAAAGAGGGAAGAAATCACTTTCCCGAACTCTCGCGTTCAATCTGCCCAGTTGGTGGAATGAACTCCCTAACTGCATCAGAACAGCAGAGTCACTCGCTACTTTCAAGAAACGACTAAAAACTCAACTATTTAGTCTCCACTTCCCTTCCTAATCTGCAATTCCCTCTCTGACTCCTCCACTAACTACAAAAAAAAAATTACTAATGTTTTGCTTCTTACACTTTCTTCACATACCTGAAACTTGCCTACAGCACTTATTCATCGTTGCTCTTAGTTGTGTAAATTGCTTCCTTGTCTTCATTTGTAAGTCGCTTTGGATAAAAGCGTCTGCTAAATGACTAAATGTAAATATAAATGTTAACTTGGCAAAATTACCCCAGACTTTTGTACATAAAACATACAAACATTAGAGTCACTGTTTGGTTTTTAAGCATTCTGCTACAAATATTTTAATACAGCAGTTCTCACACTAGGTGGTGAGCACAGGCTGCAGTGTGAACTATTAGCAAGACGTGTAGCAAGTTTAGGTATTATGGTAAAACTACACCTCTCATGTCCAAAATAAACAAAATCACAAGTGACATGGGACCACAAATCAGTCCAAAGTGTCAATAACTGTGAACAGATTTATGCAACATCCAAAAGCTGAATGAATATTTGGTCACACTTTATTTTGATGGTCCGTTTGTTACATTGTACTGACATTTAAACTAATTCTCATTAGATTATAAGCAGACTGTTAGGTTGGGTTAGGGTAAGTTAATATGTACTTGGAAAGTTTCTTAGAGTGAGTTAAATGTCTGTTGAAGGAGCAGTATCAACATATATTAAGCAGACAGTTTATACCCAAATGGACCATCAAAAGAAAGTGTTATTGTATAATTCAATGGCTTTGTAACCCCACCAGCCCTACAGTACCGAAACTGCTCAAACTGGGATCAAACCAGCGACTTTCCGCATGGGAGTCTTACAAGAAGGCTAAAGACCACGACATCTAGCATCTGTTGCTAGAGCACAGTTTGAGGTTAGAGGAGTGAGGTTTACCTGCACAGCACTTCATTAGCTGCCCTCTGTTACAGTTTGTCAGGAAAAAAAAACACAATTGGTATAGATACAATTGTTTGAAAAGCTGAAATCTGAGGGTTGTGAAAAAAAATCAAGAGAAAATAACCTTTACAGATCTCCAAATAAAAAAGGTCTTGATACATTTATGGAAGAAAGTTTATTAAATAACTTCATGGAAGATGATTTTTAACTTTTAACAATTACTAAATGCACTACAGAATGTTTCTTTTCACACAAACTGCATGAATAGTATCAGTGCTGCAGAGGTTTGTTCTGTGGCACCAACAATGTGGTAGCATGGATCCATCCTGCCTTGTATCAGCGGTTCAGGCTGGTGGTGGTGGCGTAATGGTGTGGGGGATATTTTGTTGGCAGACTTCAGGCCCATTAGTACCAACTGAGCATGGTGTCAACGCCACAGCTTACCTGAGTATCCATGCCTCCATGACCACAGTGTGTCCATCTCCTTATTCTGCAACTCAGTACAGTGAAACACCCATACACTCTCATTCACACTCATACACTACGGCCAATTTACTTCATCAATTGACCTGTACCGCATGTCTTTGGACTGTGGGGGAAACCGGAGCACCCAGCGGAAACCCACGCCAACATGGGGAGAACATGACCCAGAGCAGGTCCAGACCCAGCCAGTACTCAACCAGCGACCCTTATGCTGTGAGAAAACAGCGCTTACCGCTGAGCCATTGTATCACCCCATCATATTACATATACATTACATAAATGAATCACATCTGTCACAATGTTTATAGTTGAAAAAATGCTGATTGTTTTAATATGTCAATAATTTGTCTGAGTACATTCTCTACCTGCCTGTAATATAATTGAAAGTGCTGTTGCTGATGAGTATAATGACATTTGAAATACAATGTTGTGACGACCCCTTGTGGTCGTTTGTGGCTGGGGTGTGGGTGTCTGTCTGTGCGTCAGTGTGTGTGCAATTGTGTTGAAAGCATAGAATTGTGTAATTCTCCTCACAGCTGATTGACATTTAAATAGCCCTGTGGATTAATTTCGATGTTAGGATTAAGTGATATGTCTCTATTTTTTTTTTAGTTTGTTATTTTTGAGCAGATCGGTGGCTAGAGCTATGTCTCCGGAGCACGCCGAGGTGTGACAGAATCGCCAATATAATTGGTTGTTGTTTTCAGCCTGCGGTATTTGGTGCATAAAAACCCACCACTGTATGCTTGAAGACTAGGGTCTACTTAGTTCGATTTATGGATAGGTATAGGTTGCATAATTAATATACAGGGCGCAAATAAGTAAGTGGCAAATAATATAATCTGGGTAGTAGTACTACATTTATTGATTTATCTTTATTTCTGTAGTTTTCAATAGCATTGATTGAAACATGGTGTCTGGGCGATGAAACCGAGTCTGTGGCTGCATTCCAGTACAATTTTTATGCTCTTCACTCACTAACTTCCCTCCTTCTTGTTCACTTGGATGTGCATCATTGATAACATCCCACAAATGTCCACTGCTGTTGGAGCATCTGAATGTGTTTAAATTGAGTGCCCTAAAACCTTGAGCACTTGGGAACTAGATTGTTGTGACATCACAATCTTGTTGCATTCTGGGACATTTAGGTGCTGGAGTGGATATATGAACCTGACTCTCTCCCTCAGTCAAAATTAAGTGATCGAGGATATGAGTTCCCTCATTCATTGATGAAGTAGAGCATACTTTAAAATGGGGACAGGAATTCCCCGTCTGAACAAGCGAAGGGAAGTTTGTGAATATGTGTCTAAACGTGGACTGGAAGGCAGCCAGTGTCTTGAAAAGAAGACACAGACTCTTGTGATAGTTATGATCAGGGCTTAATTTGGGCCAGAATAACCCCGATCTGGAACTTTTGAAATCTGATTCGGCACATCATTTAATATATCCCCTTCCTCGCACACACTCTCTTACTCGCTGCTCTTCACTTTCTTCCGCGACTCCCCAACCCTCTTCACTTTCGCCCGCAACACCTCTCCCTCCACTGATAACATGCAGGATTAGTTACCCCGACCTGTTCTGGGACCTCACAATTGAAGTACTGGTAATGATGACAAAAGACACATATTTGTGTGTGGTATTACAACTAATTAATGCTAAAGCTACTGCAAATTATGTATTTTTAAATGCAAATGACCATTTAAACCTCACTGTCTACTTTAAAGATGGTGGTTCACATAGATGACATTCAGGAAGTCTCCATGGAGGACCCAGTTCATGATGTGCTGGATTTTTCTGAGACATTGATCTGCCACTGACCTGTTATAAGGTCCAAGTCATGGAAGATGTAATTGGCCATCAAGCATCTATAGTGTACCACGATTCCTTGAAGCAGTTAGCCCAATAATTGCTTTTGCCTGTCACAATGTTTAGCGCTCATGATTAAAACACCAAGTTACAATGTGTAGCTTTTTGGCCTTAGTGTGACATCCAGGATCTTAGCGATATTATTGAATAGGTAAGAATTAGTTGGTTTTTAATGTATTACATGTCTTGTAGGGATAGTAGAAAGTGTGTCATGCGTGTTATATTTTTCTATTTTAGATATGTTCTTCAGGTCTTCATAGCCAACTTACAGATAAGGTAAGCTGTTAGGTGACTTCATGTTGGCCACCAACAAACTTTTGTCAAGAAACAACGTATTTCTTCTCTTAAGGTTAAGGGGAATGGACATAAGACATTACATTTTTCTTTAAAACACAAGACACCTACCATATTGATAGCATCAAAGATGTTTGGCTTTCTAAGAGAGGCCATTTCATCCTTGAATTACAGCCAAATTGCCAACTGAGTAAGCTGGATATGCATTCACTTCCACGTGTAACCCCACCAGACCTACGCTACCCAACCCACTCCAAGCTGATATCGAACCGGCGACCTTCCGCATGGAAGTCGGTTGCTCTACCAAGGAGGCTAAAGACCATGGCCTCTAGTGTCTGTCGCTAGAGCACCTTTAAAGGTCAGAGAAGTGAGGTTTACCTGCACAGCACTTACTAGCTGGCCTCCGTTACACTCACCCCCCTAAACCTCCCATCCAGGTCACGGCACCAATGTAACCCCAATGGTCCTACACCACCCAACCCACTCCAAGCTGGTATTGAATCGGCAACCTTCTGCATAGGAGTCGGTTGCTCTAACAAGGAGGCTAAAGACCACAGCCTCTAGCGTCTGTCACTGGAGCACCTTTACACATGCATAAGCAAGTAACTTAACAAAAATTATGATTGAGTTTACAAAAACACTTTTCCTCTACATTATCTACATTTGTAGGAAATGCTAGGGAGTGCCATGGCTGAATTTCTGTGCAAGTACACCCCTGCTGTATACAGTTATATCATTGGCTGACAAAAATGTTGCAAAAATTAGCAAAGTTTATTTATGGCCAGTCTGTTCCCTCAGTTGTGACTGTATTAACAATGATCATTCGCAGGTATTTAGATTAAGTATTCGCCTATATTATCTGATTCAGTTTGCAGACAATGTGAGATTATGAGCAACATTAAACTCACCATCCGAATTCAAAGATTTAACTCTTAAACTGACAGCATCCCACAATAGAAATGTTCATTAAGCTTGTTTATGTCTGTTATTGAAGCACGCAGCGTTTTCCATGATTCTTCTCAAAGTTGTTAATGTTTGCAGCATTTCGGGCTTCAATTCTCTTGACTTCTGCAGCATACATGTCAGCGGTCTCCTTGTACTTTCTCATGGCCTCGTCCAATATCTGCCTGCAATCCTCCATCTCCTTATAATGCTGAGACAGAAGTTCTTGCTCTTCATTTTTCTCATCTTTAGAGATTTTAGGTGAATCCTCGCTGGTTTGCTGATCAGTTGCTGTATGTTTGATCTTTTCTTCATTCTCTTCGACACTTGAAGCTTCTGTTATTTTACATTCTTCTAACTGTTTTTCAAGCTTTTTCCTTTTCTTTTTGCCTCTTTTTAATGACTGAAAACCTTTCCATCGCTTGTGTTTCTTGAGCTCTTTATTAGATTCTCTTCCAGCTTCTGGCATTTCTCTGTCCACACCGGTTGTTTCTGAATGCTGATTTTCCTGCTTTTCAATCTGATCATCATTCTTTCTCTCAGCATGTGCTGTAGGTTCACATTGATCCTGTGTTTGTGCAGTCCCGGAGGTTGCTGCGGCTTCTCCTGTTTGCCTCATTTTAAATTTTCTCAACAGTGCATGTTCTGTCTCCATGACCAGAAGATCTCTGACCTTAAGCTTTCCCTTTTCTTCCTCTAGCTTTTCTTTGTATTGTTTGATTTCAGACTCATATTTGGCTTTAAGGGCCTCCATTTTCTGTCTGACCTCCTCCTCTTTCTCTCTGTTGATCTGCACGAGTCTCAGTGCTCTCTCTGCCTCCTGAAACATTTTATCATTGTAGAAACTAGATTTATTATCCCACATCATCTTATCGATCTTCTTCAGCAGACCTACGACCTGAGCAAGGTCCTTCTGTTTATTGTTGAACACGTGAAATCTTCCTCCACAGTCGTGGATCAGCTGTTTGACATGTGAATCTCCATCTTCAATGTAGTCTTCAATAGAGTCATCCAGATTGTCTCCTTTGGTGAAGAGCACCATGGCGTAGCTCTTGGCGTTCTGTCCAAAGGTCATCTTGATGAGCTCAAGGGTTTCTCTCTCCTCTTGTGTGAACGGGCCGATAGAGATGAGCAGCAGAAACACATGTGGTCCAGGAGCCGAGAGCTCAATGCACCTCATGATCTCCTGCTGGATCACTTCATTACTAAGGCTGGTGTCAAAGAGTCCTGGTGTGTCCACCACAGTCACGGGTCGACCACAGGCAATTCCACTTTCTCTTTGACACATCTTGGTAACAGAGGTCATTCTGGCCCGAGACTCAAATGCACTGCGTCCCAGGATGGTGTTCCCGGTTGCACTCTTTCCCACTCCAGTTTTACCAACCAGAACGATCCTCACACACTCCAAGCTCTTCTCAGTGCCGACGGAGGCTGTGAATTACACAAATGTGTGCTGAATTGACCTTATAATCAAAAACTTTTTATTGACAAAAATATTGTTTTAAACTGGTCCAATCATGCAACTTTCTCTAGTGCAGGGGTGCTCAATTCTGTTCCTGGAGATCTACCTTCCTGCAGAGTTTACACCCTGATCAACACAACTAAACAAACTAGATAGGATCTGAATGAGCACTTGCTAATTAAAGACAGATGTGCTTGATCAAGATTGTAGCTGAACTCTGCAGGAAATTAGATCTTCAGGAACAGGGTTGAGCACCCCTGCTCTAATGCATAATGTGATTTGTTTGATGTTGCTGTAGTATCTGAAGCATGAGCTGTAAAGGCTCTTTTGGAAAGGGGGCAGAGAGTAGCAGCTTATTTGCATTTCAAGTGGCTTATATCCCACCCACAAGGGGTATTTACAGTATGGTATAACAGATAACCCGGAAGGTATTGTGATTCTGGAGACACTTGAAAATTCAGCTGTATGTTCTTAAAAAAAGCATAATTGGACCACTTTAACAACGATTAAGTGTCTTACTTCTGCACAAGATGAATCTTAATATGGAATTTTAAAAGTGAAATATTTTCATAGAAACATGAAAAGCCTGTTAAAATACTGTCAGTAAAAAATAAAAAAATTTGTCAGTAATCATCAGCATTGTGTACTCACATTTTGATCGCACTAATTTTCTGGGATTTTCTGATTTGGGCTGAGACTTCAGTGTAATGGGTTCTAAAGATGTAGAACATTGTTAAGCAATCATGCATGAACTATTCTGAACAGAGGATCATGAAAAATATAGCAACATAAAAAAGCTAATTGAATCTGTTTTATCAGAAATAGTAAAAAGCAGATTGTTTTATTTTGTGAAAAGCATTTTCATGTTAGTCTATGTTAATACTAATAATTAAGTCTAAAATTGAGACCAAATTGACAAATGCATGAATGGGTTGATTGCTAGTTCAGATATTCTGACAATGCTAAAACTGTTATGAGCTAAAGCTGAGTCTGAGTTCCTTAATGAGATGATGATTCATGGAAATTTTCAGTAAGTTGAAAGTATTAAGAGAATGCATAATACTATACATATATGTTACGCCTCCAAGAACTATCTTATCATGGTGGAGGGGTTTGAGTAGCTGAGTGATCCTAAGAGCTATGTTTTTAAAGGGTAATGCCTCTGGTAGGGTCTTCCAATGCAAAAAGTTCTTAGACAACAAGTCAGACTGAGTGCAGTTTAAAAATCTTTTATGAAACATTAAGGACTGCAACATTGCCTGGTTTGTTGCAGCCGGGGCCCCAGCCTGGGGTTGGGGCTTGTATTTTGTGTGATAAAACCCACTCAGACTCAGCCTGAAAGAGTGACGTGGAACTATCCTCCTGCAGTTCCACAACCTGCAGGGGAAGCTGTAAGGGGTCGGTTCATTGGGCTCACCTGCTCACACCACTTGGGCTGTGGAACTTTACTTCTTGAGAAGGGGTGTACTTCCTTGTACTCTGGAGTTGCCCATGGTGAGAGACAGCAGGCTGGTGTGGGCTTGCTGATAGCTCCCCAATTTACCTGCCATGTGTTGGAGTTTTCCCCCAGTGAATGAGAGGATCACTTTCCTGCACCTTCAGGTCGGGGAAAGATCTCTCAGTGTAATTTGTGCCTTAGGGCCAAACATCAATACAGAGTACCCAACATTCTTGGAGCCCTTGTAAGGGGTGCTGTAAAGAGCTCAGACTGGAGATTACGTTCTTCTACTGGGGGAATTCAATGATTAGTGATTAAGAGAAACAACCTCCCTGATCTGAATCCAAGTGGTGTCCTGTTGTTGGACTTCTGTGGTAGTCAATTTGTCCATAACAAACATTGTGTTCAAGCAGTTCTGGCTAAACCACATGCCAGAGGAATTTTCAACTCTAACCTTAGAAAAAACGTTGACCAGATCCCGAGGGGATCTGGAGACATTGAGAGTTGGTGGCCCTTGTTCTCTGACTATTGTTGACGTAGCCATGAGGAGCTGTGGCTGTAAAGTCTGTGGTGCCTATTTTGGCTGCAATTCATGAGCCCGATGTTGACACCAAAAGTAAGAGATACTGTCAAACTGAAGGAGTCCTACCAGGCTTGGTTGGCTCATAGTACTCCTGAGACAGCTGATAAAGCAAAGCTTTTAGAAGCAAAAGGTCAGGCTTAGAAAGTGTTCAGGGAGACCATGGAGGAAGACTGCCAGCCTCAAAGAGATTCTGGCAAACTATCCAGCAAACCATTCTGGCAAACCTAAGACACCCCAGAAGTTGGGTCAAGTATAGCTCCATCATGTTTCAAAGTGAAGGAAAGATCTTGATCATAACTTTAATGAAATAAAAAGCTGTAAAAAATCAAGGAAATCTCTTTCCTTTTGCTTTTTTGAGAACATGGCGAAATACGACACTCCAACGCAATCTCACAACAATTTGTAACTTTCGTCATTTAATAGCTAATTCATATTCATTTGTACAATCTCATTCATGTATTTTAGTATGCTTGGCTCATCCTCCAATGAGGGGTATGGTTCTTTTAAAAATCATGTTTTCAAATGAAGGAAATTTTATGAATTCATTTAAAGTAGCCCCTTTTCTGAGAATAGGTAATATAGGTAAGTTCCTTGTGGGATCTGGCTGAACAATCCAATGTCATTTTGAATCGATCCATGAATTAGGTAATCATTACACCCATAATGAGTATGCATAAATGAATTATGCTAATGTTTTTAATTATTTTTTATCAGATGTGGTAAAATAGTGAACATTTACTTTATACTTACTATGAATCATGCTGCATGCCCCTCTCTTTAAACCTGAAATAACATCATAAACGATGAGGTTATTTTGTCTACAGATCTTAAAATTTATTCACCCAATTGCATCACAATTATTACTATGTTATGAAATTCACACAATATAATATTCCCTCAGTGCATGCAGTAATGAAAATGTAAAGGTTTACTCTTATGTCTTTTGAGCATTGTTTGGCAGATGATCTCTGTTTTGGTCAGGCCAGGTTTTGGATCCATCTTCAGATCATGGCCTCTGTTTTCCTCCACCATCTCCTCAATGATCTCCAGAAGGTTCTGCACCTGTGACTGGTCTCCATTCCTCTGGAGATTATGGTGTGGACATTTGGAGATCTGCAGCAGAGGCTTCTCTGATCTGCTGTCAGTGTCTGTAATGCTCACATACTCCATCTGCTCCTCGAGCATGAAGACCACGATCACATATTCAAACGCCCCTGTGCCAAAAACAGTTGTAATGAGTTGGAGGGTATCTCTGTCCTGCTTTGTAATTGTGCCAGGTTTTAGGACCAGTAAGAGGGCGTGAGGTTCAGGACAGGACAGATGGAAAAACTTCTTCAGGTCCTGTTCTTCAGGAGAGACAGGAGGACTAAACAGATCAGGAGTGTTGATGATCACCAAACGTCTTTTTAAAACCATCCCATCATGCCTCTCGAATAAATGCGGTGAAGGCGGCGACTCTGAAAACACCTGTCGACCAAATATGGTGTTTCCACAGGAGGCTTTAACAGCTGCATCTGAGCCCAGCAGCACAATCCTCAACTCCTCAGACACTGAAACAACAAACATGTTTATTACTGATCATTCATGCAGTTGCTTGTTTTTCCACAATCTGAGATAATCAGTGTTAATTAATGGAGTGCTCTGAGACACAAATACTAAAGAGTGAAGCTACACACTTAAAATAAAGGTCCTTTATTGCTGAGGATAGCTCCATGAAGAACATCTTTTGAAACATTTCATCCAAATATCTGTTCTTCACACCTCACAAAAATAGTTCTCAAACCCATGAATTCTCACTGGCTGACCAATGAGCATATTTGCTATTGCATGTTTAAAGCAATTCATCTTTATTTTACATTTATATAGCGATTCTCTGGGCAATCAAAGGTCTTTACAGATTTTTTTTTTCAACCACCACCAGTGTGTAGCCAACACTTGTAAGATCTGTCAGCCTTCACTAATGTGAAGATAAAGTGGAAATTATTATTGGACAGGAATGCCCTAGTGGATGTGGATTCTGATGTACATGTGACATTTCAGAACTTTTATTTGTATTAAATTTGCAACAATTTCAAAACTCTTTTTTTTCACAATGTCATTATGGGATATTGTGTGTGGAATGTTGAGGTAATAAATTTAATTAATTTAGGAATAAGATTGTAACCAAAAAATATGGAAAAGGGAAGCGCTATCAATACTTTCCAGATGCACTTTCTTCTGGAGAAAGTCTTATTTGTTTTTATTCAGCTAGAATAAAAGCAGTTTTTAATTTTTTAAACACCATTTTAAGGTCAAAATTTTTAGCCCCTTTAGGCAACATTTTCTGTAATTTACATAGATACATAGTCTACAGAACAAACCATCGTTATACAATAACTTGCCTAATTACCCTAACCTGCCTAGTTAACCTAATTAACCTAGTGAAGCCTTTAAATGTCACTTTAAGCTGTATAGAAGTGTCTTGAAGAATATCTAGTCTAATATTATTTACTGTCATCATGATATAAAATAAATGAGTTGTTAGAGATGAGTTATTAAAACTATTATGATTAGAAATGTGCTGCAGAACTGAAAATGGGGGAAAAATAAACAAGGGGGCGAATAAATCCGACTTCAATATGGTCACACTTTACAATAAGGTTCATTAGTTAATGTTAAGTAATGCATTTACTAACATGAACAAACAATGAACAATACATCTACTACTGTATTTATTCATGTTTGTAAACATTAGTTAATGAAAATACAGTTGTTCATTGTTAGTTCATGTTAACTCATGGTGCATTAACTAATTTTTCAGGATTAGTTCATGTTAGTAAATGCATTAACTAATGAACTTTATTGTAAAGTGTTACCATATACATATATATATATATATATTTTTTTTTTTTTTTTTTTTTTTTTAAACTTTTCTCATTATTGTGGTGGGAAAGGAAAAGTATTTGGAACCTTTAATTGGAAGTGTGCATAACTATTGTTAAAATCATTAATAAAAAGAGATCTGCTTTTTTGTTTTTATTTACTTTTGCTAAGTTTTATTTAATTCCGATAGAAATAATTAATTTTGTAATCATTCTATTACAAGACATTTATGAAATTGCAATATGGAAAAGCCATATTCCTACTCTAATAAAAATAGATCTTGCTTGATCATCTGTTTAAAAATATGGATAATAAAAGAAAAATCACTAAATGAATCATGCTTAAATGTTTTTCATATGATTATTCAGACATTGGATCTACAAGCCTCGTCGATATACTTTTATCAGTTTTGCTAAATTATTAATAAAAATGAAAAAACTCACCAGAATGTGCAGATGATAGGCTGCATTCGGCCATCTTTACAAAACATTTAACAAAACATTTAAAATTAAATCATTTCAGTCGAATGATTTTGCTTTGCTGTGTTTGTTGAATGAAAGTGACACTCATTACAGCTCAAACTGGTTGGACTTGAAATGAATGTGCATTTTATACCACTCCCCCTGATGTGCTATCAGGACAGACATAATTCAAAAAAACAGTGATTATGCGAATTCCCAATTAGTATTTTGAGCCATAGCTGAAAAGTATTTGTGACTGATTTTAGGTGTGAACTCAAAAGCTGCTTACTGTTTTTATATCTTTGACAACACATTGAGTCAAATCTAGGCTATTTTAGTATTTTACTACTTTTTTACTGTCCAGTAGCAATGAAATGAAATGTTATTATAGCAGAATTACCACAGACTCTTGCGTGTCAAATTATGTTACAGAGCTTCAAGCATTCTAAATCAAATGTCATTGTAAGACAGCAAATGTCACACTAGGTGGCGCACACAGGCTGCAGTGTGAATTATTAGCATTACATGTAGCAAAAGTCAATTTGCAAGAATATTTCTATTGTACGACTACACTGATCAAGGACTAAATAAACAAAACTTACAGATGACCACTTGGACCACAAATCTAGGCATACTAGTAATTATTGGAACTGAAGATTTATAAAACATCTGAAAGCTGAATAAACCGAATCAAATAAAAAAAAAAATCTAAATGAAAATATTGAGAAAAATCGCCTTTACAGTTCTCCAAATGAAGTTCTTTATGGCAGGACATTTACAAAAAATCTTCATGAAACACAATCTTTACTCATTTGTTTGTTTTCTTTTAGACCTTTATTTATTTGGAGTCACCACAGTGGAATGAACCACCTACTATTCCAGCATATGTTTTACACAGCGGATGTCCTTCCAGCCACAACCCAGTGCTTAGAAAAATCTATACACTCTTACATGTACACACACACACACACACACACACACACACACACACACACACACAAACACTCTCTCTCTCTCTCTCTCTCTCTCTCTCTCTCTCTCTCTAAAATATAATCGTTGAACATGAGACTGTTATTGTAGTTCATGGTCACATCCATAAAGGTTTTTGAGTCATTTGTTCATCATGTGAAAGCATGTAAAGCAGGGGTGTCCAAACTCGGTCCTGGAGGGCTGGTGTCCTGCAAATTTTAGCTCCAACACCTGGATGCTTCTAGACTGACTAGTAAGAGCTTGTTTAGCTAGGCCAGCTGTGTCTGATTGGGGTTGGAACTAAACTTTGCAGGACACCAGCCCTCCAGGACCGAGCCTGGACATCCCTGTACTAGGCAGTGTAGAAACATCCTTGCAAGTGTGTTGAAGCAAGTTGGAGCTAAAATCTGCAGGACACCGACCCTCCAGGACCGAGTTTGGACACCTCTGATGTAAAAGGATGACTCAAAGCTGAGGTCTCAAGAAATTAACGGATCAAATCTTTTCCGGCTCATATGATTGGCTTCTGTCTTTCACATGATGAACGAATAACTCAAAGTCTCGAACCCAATAGAAAGGAACTAATCTTTTACTGCACCATACATGAATGAACCAATCACTCTATGAGAGGACTCATTGTTCTGGAGTCCTTAAAAAGATTTGTTCAAAATAAATGAATCATTCAAGAAGGACCCCTCACTACTTTTGGTTGAATGGGCTGATGCAAACTCTCAAATGACTTTTCTAAGTTAAAATGATGACATGGTGGTTCAGTAGGTAGTGCTGTCGCCTCACAGCAAGAAGGTTGCTGGTTCGAACCTCGGCTGGGTCAGTTGGCGCTTCTGTGTGGAGTTTGTATGTTCTCCCTGCGTTCGAGTGGGTTTCCTCTTTGTGTTCTGGTTTCCCCCACAATCCAAGGACTTGTGGCACAGGTGAACTGGGTAGGCTAAATTGTCCGTAGTGTATATGTGTATGGATGTTTCCCAGTGATGGGTTGCAGCTGGAAGAGCACCCGCTGCATAAAACATGTGCTGGATAAGTTGGCGGTTCATTCCACTGTGGCAACCCTGGATTAATAAAGAGACTAAGCCGAAAAGAAAATGAATGAAAGAAGTAGTTAAAATATTTTTACTTGAGTATGTTTTTGTGCTGTATCTGCACCTTTACTGCAATGTGAGGTCACTGCTTTCTTTTCTTGACCACAGTGGTATTGGCTAAGCAGAATAAACTGTCCCATCATTCTCATCCAATCAAATCAAATCACACTAACCAGAAGACAGTTTTCAAATGTAGCAAACATGTACAGTGTGAAGCATTAAAAGTGGCCAAGATGACACAAAATCATCACATTCTGTTTAGATGTAGACGTTGACTGTATGAAGACTGAAATCCCAGAATGGCCTAAATCAATAAATGCCAAACAGCCATGGTCCACAAGCTTTTTATCACCGTGGGCCTTAGAAATGCCATGTTATTACAGCACAAACCATCACTGATCCATTCCCATGCTTCACTCTGGGCATGCAGTAGTCTGGGTGGTATGCTTCTTTGGGGCTTCTCTACACCATAACTCTCCTGGATGTGGGAAAGTCGGTGAAGGTGGACTCATCAGAGAACAATACATGTTTCAGATTATCCACAGCCCAAAATCTTTCACTGCTGGCACCACTGAAAGCATTTGGCATTGACATCAGTGACCAAAGGTTTGGCTATAGCAGAAGGCCTTATATATTGAACAGGAGAGTTAAGAAGCACATTTAATTCTGCAGTGAGTTGGGCATCCGAAAAACCGTGCCCACTGACAGTAAAGTGTCCCCTTCACTATTCTTGGGCAGTAGGACTCACACAGACCACAGGTTGAGTGTCCCCTGCTGGCCTCACTAACACCACTTGCAACAGCAACTTAGTTTTCCTATGTGGTCTCCCATCCAGATACTGACCAGGCTCAGCCCTGCTTAGCTTCAGTGAGTAACCGCTCTTGAGCTGCAGGGTAATATGGCTATGGCAGTTGAGCATGATCATTTCTCCTCTGGTCAAAGTTATTGTGCAGAGCTGCAGTCTAGGCAACAGAGGATGAAGAACCCTGAACATCCATCGTGGAGAAGCTGCAGGTGTGAGTAGGTCACCAGGGTGCACAGTCTGGGCCACGAGATCAGTGCGGACTTCTCTATCACTGGGGTCTTTCAGGAATCAGTCTCATTTTCTGCACTCCAAGACCACCACAGCATCTGTGCAGGATAAGGCCTGGTCCAGGATTAGGAGACCTCTAGAAGTCCTCTATGGTCGGCATCATCTCTTCAAAGAACTTGGATTACATTAATGGTGCTGCACAATCTCTAGAGTTCTTGGGATGAGTACAACCAGGTGGAAATAGAGAAGATAAGATGACAGAAGTCTAAGAGAAGTCTGAGTAAGTAGTCTAACAAGCTGTCTAAGAGATGTCTAAAAGAGGTCTGAGCAAGTAGAGTAACAAGAAGTCTAAAACCTGGCTCACATTTTATTTTCAATAATCCTTAATGATTACTGAATGTCAAACCGCATGAACATGTTTTTCATGTCACACAAGATCTCAGCTGTCATAATGTCCGACTGAATGACAATAAAAACACACCAAAGGAGGAAGAAAACTTACCTGAAGATTGATGTCGTCCATCCATGACACTTTCACTATTCTGCGTTCTGAAATGATATCTCACAGCAAACATAAACAATGTGTAGCTGCACACAGTGTACCTCAGTAATAAAACCAAGTAGAAAAAAAACGTTTGAACAAGTTTAAAGTTGTTATGCAGATTGCATCATTGGATTAAATGTCCTTATAGGTTCTCGGTTTGATGCTGATCGTATCTGCTGTTACAGTGCAAGTATCTGAAACACTACCAGAACTTCATTTGAGGGAAATATGGATCACAACCCCTATTAAATGGCTGTCTATGAACATGTCAAACCAGTGATCATAGATTTTAGTCTAGGATTTCAAAAATCTTTTAGGATTTTCAAAATTTGTGACAGATGACCAAATTTTGGCTGAAATCCAACAGTGTGAGCAGAAATCTGAGCGAAGTCCTAGAGAAGCTTATCAAGAGCAGTGTTACCCTGTATATTATATATATTTTAGGGGATTGAGATAGATAGAGGTGGAGACAAATCTAAACAAAGCAGGCAAATAAAGTACCGGAATCAGCCTGGCAATGGAACCTTCCTTGTTCTGATCTCAGCAGCATAACAAAACCAATTTAAATGCAGAGGTTCTGCTAATCCAACCAACCTGGCATGATTGCCCTAAACTTCATAGAAACAATGGCACAGACATTTGGACCATGCTGATGGTCCGGAAGAACTTGAAGACAAGAGTTTAATGTCTTAGACACTTGGTCTGTTAGACTCAATCTTTACTTAGAATGTCATCATAATTACCTCAAAATGTAAAATACCATTACATTTTAGTTAAACATTTAAATTGAAACTTTTGATTCCACAACATACACAGGTTACAAAAAAACACTGGGGCAAATCCCAAAATAATCTACCAAAGCATTTTATTCAAAAACAACTTTCATTAGTTTTTGGAAGTATACAGATTAGAAGTAGGGGTGTTAAGAGTTTTTAATTATTTTATTAAAATCTATAAATCACTGTGTAGTATATGTATTATGGTATTGTCTAGTGCAGGTGTGGGCAAACCTGATCCTGGAGGGCCGGTGTCCTGCATAGTTTAGCTCTAACCCTATTCAAACAGACCTCCCTATAGAGTTCAAGTGATCTTAAAGACACTGATTAGTTTGTTCAGGTGTGTTTGACTAGTGTTGGAACAAAACTCTGCAGGGACACCGGCCCTCGAGGATCAAGTTTGCCCATTCCTGGTCCAGTATATCAGATGTGATTTTTGTTGATTTGTATAAATACAGCAGCATGTCTCCAACTAATATCCCGTTTATAAAGGAAGGACAGTCAGATGAGGAGATATTTTAAGCAGCACAAAACAGAAATCTGATTTGACATTAGTAATAGAAAGCAGTAGCTATAAACAGAAAAGGTGACCATCACAGAATGTTACAGCTGGATTTATTCTTCATTCTCTCCACTTCTTGTAGTAGGTCTTTGATTTCCTCTTCTTTCTGTTCTTGCAGGTGTTGATAAATTTTCTCTAGTATCTGATGTTGTTTCTGACGTTCTTCCAGCATCTGCTGAAGCTCCTGAATGAGCTGCTCTTTTTTCTCTCTGAAATCATTCAGTTCTTCTGCTTGTTTTCTGGCCTCAACTTCATGTTTCTTCTTTATCTGTTTTATTTCCTCTTCATGTTTCTGTTTCATTTCATCTCTCTCTTTCTCTTCTCTCTTTTGTCTTACTTTCTCTTCTGCTTCTCTCCTACCTTTCTCCTCTTCCTGCTCTCGTTTCAGATCTTCAATCATTTTCTTCCATCTCCTTCTCTCGTCTTCTCGTCTCTCTTCATCTTCATGTTTTCTTCTCTCCCACTCCTCTTTTCTCTCTCGTTCCAGTCGTTCATAATGTCTCTTTGTCTCCTGTCTCTTTTCCTCATAATCTCTCTCCTTTTCTTCTCTTTCTCTTCTCTGTTTCTGTCTCTCTTCCTCCATCTTCTGTCGTTCTTCTTCTCTTTCTCCTTCAAATCTCTTTCTCATTTTCTCCAGTTCTTCTTGTTTTTCTCTCAGTTGTTCTTCGTGTTTCTCTTTTCTTTTTCTTTCTTCTTCCTCTCGTTCTCTCAACCTCCGTCTTTTCTCATCCTCCCATTCTCTCTGCTGTCGTTTAATTTCCTCTAGAATCTCTTTTCTGTCATTTTCAGCTTCTTTTATTCTTCTTTCCCATCTCTGTCTTTCCTCCTCTTCTTCCTTGTTCCTCTTTTGATTATCATAGTATTTCTTCTTTATTTCCTCCTCTTGTTTTCTCTGTACCTCTGCTATAATTCTCTCTTGTTCATTTCTCATCTTTTCTTGGTCTTGTCTGTATTTTTCTTCTCTCTTTCTGTCTTGTTCTTCTCTTTCTTTCTGCTGTTGTTCATACTGTGATCTCTGATTGTCGATCTCTCTCATCATTTCTTCTATTCTCTGATGATATTCAGCTCTCTGCTGTTTTTCCTCTTCTGACCGTTTCTGGTGTTGAATCTCTTGCTTGATCTGATCTGCTTTCTCCTTCTCTTCAAACTCTTTCTTTAGTTTTTCCTCTTTTTCTCTGAATTTATTCTCGATTTTCAATTTCTCCTCTTCTGCTCTTTGTTTCTCCTCCTCAAGTCTTTTCATCACATTGTTCATTTCAATTTCATATTTGGCCTTTAATGCCTCATTTTGAGCTTGCATCTCTCTTTCTCTCTCCTTCATAATTTCCTCCATCCTCTTCTTAATGGACATCTCTGCTTCCTCAAACATGCTGTTAGTGAAGTATCCACCCTGATTATTACTCTTCACCTCTTCTATCATCTTTAACAGCTTCATCACTTGAGTTTTGTCTTGTTTTTCTCTGTTATTGAAAGCCAGGAATCTGTTTTCACAATCTCTGATCAGTTTTTGGAGTTCTGCACAGTTATATTTACTCACATAATCATTTATAGACTCATTGAGATCATCTCCTCTGGTAAACAGAACGATGCTGAACTGAGCAGATTTTGTACCAAATATCTTCTTGATCAGATCGATAGTGTCTGTCTCCTCTTTGGTGAATCTTCCCAAACTCAACACAATGACAAACACATGAGGTCCAGGAGCTGACAGTGAAACACACTTCACTATTTCTTCCACCACTTGATCATTTGTCAGTGTTGTGTCGAAGAGCCCTGGAGTATCAACAACAGCTACTGATCGACCATCAACTTCTCCAACTCCTTTCTCGCAGACATTCGTCACTGAATCTGGCCTTAACTGGCTGCAGAACTCCTCTCTTCCAAGAATAGTGTTTCCTGTTGCGCTCTTTCCACTTCCAGTTCTTCCAATTAGCACAATCCTCAGACATTCATGATTTTCGGTTTCATCTTCAGAACCTGATAAAAATCATGTATTAACATTTGGTTAGAATTTTAAATAGAACATTTTGAAAAGGCAAAAAAAAAAATTCTAAAGACTGTTATTTCCATCTACAAATACAGCAGATATCAAAAATAGAAAACCTACAATATCTTTAATCTATTTACATCTACACTGCGGCACATTATAAAAAACTCAAATCAGATAAAAAAAGGACATGGGATATTCAAAAGATAAAAATTAGAGCTCACTTTCATATTTATCCTAGGTATTCGTGTTAATCTGACACATCGTGGCTATTTTTTTTTATCTGACAAACCTTAATTTACTGACAAAAGCTGGTCATTGCAAGTATGAGATTTCTAAAATACTGCATCTTTGTAATGTCCCTAAATCATTCAAATCATGCAGTAGTTTGAACTTTTAAACAGCGATATATAATAGTGAATGCAAATAAACATCAGAAAGTCCTTTGGCAACATGTTCCTTCACTGTACTTATCATTCTATGAACCTGCAGCATTAATGCAGTACAATACCTCCTATCACACAACAACACAGGTAAAGCAGTTTCTTGCGGCTAGAAATATTGAAATGACATATGCAAGGGAAACATTTAGAAATGTCTGCTTAGAACTAAACAAAACTCAGCCATGTGTTTATAGTTGTGTGTAGCTTAAATTGTGACTTTGGAATATTCTGGAGCAGAATCAAAGACTGGAATGAGCTTTGGAACAAAGTCCGAAACTGGAGCAGGCCCTGGAGCAGAATATAGGACTGGAGCAGAATTGGGAACCTAGGCATACTGTGGAGAACAGTCAGGGACTGTAACAGTGTTGGGGAATTGGACAGACTCTGGAGAAGATTCAAGGACAGGATCATACCCTGTAGTACCCAAAGTTAAAGCTGGGAAAGGCTCTGGAGCAGAGTCGGGAACTAGAGCAGACTCTGGAAGATGACATGTAAAGGATCTGTTTGCCCTTCAGAATCTGACAATTCATTACTGTAGCAAGCTCTGAAACAAAGTCAAAGACTGCAGTAGGCTCTGGAGCAGAGCAGAGTCACAGACTGGTCTATTTTTTGACAAAACTAGTCAAAGAATAGAGCAGACTCCAAAGAAATGTGAGAGACTGGAACAAAATCAGGTACAAGGGCAGACTTTGAAGAAGAGTCGGGACTGGGGCAGACTCTGAAGAAGAGTCAGGGACTGGATCACACTCTGGAAAATAATCATTAACTTGGGCAGGTAGAAGATTAAGGGACTAGAGCAAACTCTGTTGCAGACCCTGACTCTTCTCCAGATCTTGCTTATATTCTAGTCCCCTTAATCTTCTGGAGTCTGCCCCAGTACATTCCCGAGACTGCTTGACTCCCTAAATCTTCTCCAGAGTCTGTCACATTCTCTGACTGTTTCAGTGCCTGACTCTTCTCCAGAATCTAGTTCAATCTGCAACTATGATCCGAAGTCAGGGACTGGGGCAGACTCTGCAAAAGATTCAGGGACTGACGCAAACTCTGGAGCTGAGTCCGGGACTGGAAAAAACTGTGGAGTAAAGTCAGGAACTAGAGCAGACTCTGGAAGATCCCATGCTGAGGATCTGTTTGCACCCCAGAATCTGAGGATTCATGTGTCAAGCTCTGAAACAAAGTCAGAGACTGCAGTAGGCTCTAGGGCAAAATCCAGAAAGGAAGAGAGCTCTGGAACACAGCAGAATCACAGAGTAAATTGGGCTTTAGAACAAAGTCAGAAACTGGACCAGGCTCTGGAGCAGATTCAAGAACTGGAGAAGACTCCAGTGAAATGTCAGGGACTGGAGCAGAATCTGTTGAAAAGTCAGGGACTGGAGCAAACTCTGGAGCTAAGTCAGTGACTGGGGCAGACTTTTCTTCAGAGTCTGCCCCAGTTCCTGACTCTTATTCAGAACCAGGGACAGAAGACAACTCTGGAACAGAATTAGGTACTGTGGTAACTCTGTTGAAGATTAAGGGACATGAGCAAACTGTTTTAGAGTCTTTTCCAGAATCTGCTCAAATTTATAACTCTGCTCAAGTTTGCTCTAGTCCCTCAATCTTCTACAGAGTCTGCCTCAGTACCTGATTCTCTTCCATAGTCTGTTCCAGTCCCTTAATCTTCTCAAGGGTCTGTCCCATTATATGACTGTTTCAGTCCCTGACTCTTCTCCACAATTCTGCACCTCAGAAACTGCAAGGTTCAAGCACTATAGCAAGCAGTAGCTCTGGAGACAAGTCAAAGACCAGAGCAGAGTCTAGAGCAGAATTAGAGAGTGAAGCAAGAGAATGGACCAATTTTCTGGAGAAAATTGGTACAAGGTCAGTGATTGAAGCAATATCTGGAGGTGAGTCAGGGAATGCAACAGAGTGCGGGACTAGAGAGTGAGCTCAGGAATGGTAGTAGGGAATAAAGAAGGCTTTACAATGGGTGTAGGCTCTGAAATGTCTCACAATCTCTAAAAAACTGCCTTTTTACAGTGGGGTCTTTGTATGAAAAATATATATATTGGGTCTTTATTTTGTCTTCTGCTTGGTTGTTGTAGGTTTTGCCTTCATCTGTCTACCTGTTGTTTTACAAAGGAGACAAACATGCAAGCTGAGATTGTATTGTACACAGATGTACACTTAAACAGTAATGTCTAAAGTTAATGTAAACATTTGGGGAAATATATGCTGTGTATCAGTATATTGTATTTGTGTATTGATATTACAGTGACAGCAGATAAATAATTGTCGCTATTTCAGCAACATAAAAAGTGAAAATAGGGCCCAATCCTGTCATAGGTTTTTATTACACAATGATAGGATGGCCCAAGCATTTTCCATATTATACCCATATAGACAATGCCTTTAATGGTAATATCTTTACAATATTTGGCTAACTAAAACCAAAGCAGCATTTAGAGTTTGCAATAAAAATAACAATAATGAATGCAAAAAATATGAACTGCTCACCCTACCTTCAGTCTGAATCCTCTGCTGCAAGTCTTTGATTTTCTTTTCCATTTCACTCATTTTTTTCTCCAGTTCACCCCTGACTCTGTTCTGTTGAGCTGTCATGTACATCTGAAGTGAATATGGCTTAGTTTTCAAGTTCTCTATGTAATTCAACAGCTCTAGGATCCTTTTTGCATTTTCAAGTTCCTTTAACCCCATCACTTTGTATCTGCCACCATACTGACTGCACAATCTTTTAGGATCTTCGTGGAATTTAACAAAATCTGTCACGGGTCCTTCAACAGTCTGTTTTGTCATGAACATTAATATGAATTGCTCACAAGAGTCAAATGTTCTTTTAATTGTCTCTATTTCTGCTTTTTCTTCATCAGTCAGAGGACCAGCAGGAATAATGAGGAGGAAAGCATGAACTTCAGAATCACAGAGAGAGACGCAGTGGAGAGTCTGATGCATCACTTCATCTTCTGAGAGACGACTGAGAGCTGGAAGCTCCAGCAGACTGACCTGACGACCGTGAATCTTCTCTTTCTTCACACGTATTTCACTACTTGCCTGCCTACTTGTTGATTTGAACTTTTTTCCACGTAAAAGTTTAGACACAGAGACTTTCAGTGATCCATTACTTCCACAGAGCACCAGATTCAGCTTCTGTCTCACAGTGAGGTTTGCAGACACTGAGAGGCAAACAAATAAATGAGCATAATGTTCAGTCACACTATCACACAACACGTACATAACTCCAATTACTGTGTGTTCAATAATTACTTACAACTGGGGCGAATCGCTGGTGGACTATGTCCTGTAAAGTCTGTAAAAATATATTTAAGTTAATTGACTTAGTGGATGCTTTTACCGTAAGTGACGATTACATGCCTTGGGTCAGGGAAAACACACAACCAAAAGAACACTAAAAGAACCCATTAAAGGTGCAGTAGGTGATCTGCAAAAATGCTAACCTGCTAGCATAATATCTTTGAAACGCAGTCCCTCCCCTGCCTCCTTTCAACTCTGTCATGTCACCCTGACACCACCCCCTGCTAATTTTCAACTACATGGCACACGCACCCCTACACCCTCAATATTTAACTACATCACATTAACCCTCTACACCACCCCCACTGCTTTTCCACTATAATCGCACACACCCCTTTTATCAACTACATTACGTCCCCCTCCTACCATTTTTCAACTATATCAAGTGTCCCCCTACAACCCCCCTTTTCAACTATGTCACATTCCCTCTGCCGTTATCCCCTCTGCCGTTATCCCCTCTGCCGTTTTTTTATCTATATTGCACACCGCCTACAACCCTCAACCAAATCACATCCCTCCTACACTGCCCCTGGACCGTTTTTCAGCTATGTCACGCATTCCCCTACACCACCCCCCATCGGTTTTAAACTATATCATGTACCCCCTATTACTACCCCCTTCCCCCCTTATCAACAAAGTCACTACCCCCCTTACCTTTTTAACTATATTGTACACTGCCTACAACCCTCCCGATCAACTAAATCAAATCTCCCCTACACCGCCCCCAGATTGTTTTTCAGCTATGTCACGCATTCCCCTACACCACCCCCATCGCTTTTCAACTATATCATGTGACCCCCTATAACTACCCTATAAACTACATCACTTCCCCTCTTGCTTGCCCCCTTACCATTTTTTTAACTACATCACACATCCCTTTTTAACAACGTCATGCCCCCCAAACACCACCCCCACTGCTTTTCAACTATGTCATGTCCCGCTTACATAGCCCCCTCCACCGCTTTTCAACTACATGGCACGACCTCCCTCCACACCCCCTCTCTTTACAACTACATCACACATCCCCCCACACCACCCCCTGCCGCTTTTCAACTACACAACTACAACTACCCCCTACCCCCCTCACTTCCCCTCTTGCCTTGCCCCCTTACCGCTTTTTAACTACATCATGCATGCTCATCATTTAACAATGTCATGTCCCCCCAACACCACCCCCACTGCTTTTCAACTTTGTTATATCCCCCTCCCTCTTTTCAACTATGTCATATCCCCATTACATAGCCCCCTCCACTGCTTTTCAACTACATGGCACGACCTATCTCCACCCCTCCCCCCATTTACAACTATATTACACATCCCCCCACACCGCTCCCCAGCCATTTTTCATCTACATCACACGTGCCCCCTACAACTACCCCCTACCCCCCTCATCAACTACGTCACTTCTTCTCTTACCTGGCCCCTTACCGTTTTTAACTACATCATGCATGCTCACCATTAAACAATGTCATGTCTTCCCAACACCACCCCCACTGCTTTTCATCTTTGTTATGTCCCCCCTTCCTCTTTTCAACTATGTCATGTCCCCCTTACATAGCCCCCTCCACTGCTTTTCAACTACATGGCACGAACTTCCTCCACACCCCCCATTTACAACAATATTACACATCCCCCCACACTGCTCCTCAGCCATTTTTCAACTACATCGCAAGTGCCCCCTACACCCACCCCCCATTGCTTTGCGACTACATTGAACCCACCTACACCCCCCTTTTTTTAACTGTCATGTCCCCTCTACACCGCCCCTCAACTGCTTTTCAACAACATGTCACAACCTCCCCCCACACCCCCACTCTTTTTAGCTATGTCACGTTGCCCTGACTCCACCCCCTGCAGTTTTTCAGCTCTCATGCACCCCTTCTTTTCAACTATGTCACATCCCCTTACACCACCCTGCTTTTCAACTTCGTGGCACCTTTTAAACCATGTTGAGCGAAACAAACGCTTCTTTAAAATGGACAGACACTACTCCACGTGTAGTTAATTGTACTAATAATAGTTGTACACTTCATACCACATTTACATAATTTCTACTAGATTCTGTAACCATTTCTGCTTTTGCTTTCTGTTTTCCTTTCCATCAGTGTTCCTCTGTTAATACTTGAATAACCTAAATTTTATCCTATAGTGACTTTTCACATGCTTTCTTTGACTTCTGAGATTTACCTTGAATATAAAATACTGCACTTTAAATGTCTGCAACGTTTTTTTTCTCTCCAAAGTTTAACAATAACAATAAAGTGCTGTTTAGACTATAAGACACAATTACACATTCATTCTGTTTCATTAAACTACATTAGATTAGACATGCTGTAAGCATATTATATCAGTCTAATGTATGTTATTGTAGTTCATAAATCTTAAAACGATAATTCTGAAAACTTACAAGAGAAACTCCCTTCTTCACTTCTCAGTTTCTGTGCCTCTTTGGGGTTTCCATCGTCACTGTGGCGAGGGCTTTTCTCGTTATTTTCCTCCAAACTGATTGGCTCATCCACAGAAGTTCCTATAACCTCACTGAATGTGTCACACGTGAGATACGCGTCCTGGTTTTCCTGGAGCATCTTATCAATCAGCTGAATTATATTTGCTTTATTTCTCTCATCCAGCTGCAGATGTCCTCCTCCACACTCCTTCATCAACTGATGAATAGTTTGCACCGCAGCAGAGCCTCCAGTCAGTTTAAAAGCACTAAACATTGATCTGGGCGTCTCTTTATCAGTGGTGAGAGCAATGGTGTGTTTAAGTGCATCTTCACTGAATGTGTTGAGCACATATTTGACTCTTGTCATGTCGTCTTCTGTGAAGTCTTTGTACTGTAGTACCAGTATAAATGCATGAGGTCCTGGATCAGACATATCTACACACTCTTTGACTGTCTGTGTGATCTGATGATCTGTAGTGTCTGGATTCAGCAGATGAAGAGTGTTAATGACCATCACATGTCTGTCCTCCACTGTTCCAGCAATCTGCGTCACATTGTGCCTCGTAAGGGCTGCCAGATCTTCATTCTCACACATATCTATTCCCAGGATTAAATTTCTCACTCGGCTGTTTTCCGATACACTTTTTCCAAAAATGACGATTCTTAGATCACACACTGAAAACACAACAACAGTGTAAAGATAACCCTAGGAATATGCAGCAATTTCACAGTAACCATAATAAATAATTATGTTAATGTCAACAGTTTTCCATAGTTTGTGATTGTTTACACTTGCTTTATATTTGTTTATTCTTCCAAACTGCATGATTAATATCTGCTCCTGGTTTAACTTCAAATTCAAAGTCATTGTGCATATTTTTAGCACATTAAAGCAAATTCAAGAGTTCACACTTAGCTGATGATTTATAATAGAGCTTGTTTGGTATGCTTTCCTGGGAGAGAGCCCTGAGCTCATAAGATTCTCGAGCCTGGGGCTTCCTCCCGTTTGCAAGGCAAGAGGGGAGTTTGAGCTCAGGTCGATCTCGAGAACTCCCCTGCTGTAGTAGCTAATGAACAGATAGTGATTGCTCTAAAGAGTTAACTACTTTCTAGGAGCATGTCTATGGTGGCGATTTGGATTAGTTAATTAAAGGTGCAGTAGGTGATCTGACAAAATGCTAACCGCTTAGCATATTATCTTTGGACGGCGGGAAGGGACTGTGATTCAAAGCCACACCCCCTGAAATCCCGAGCGCGCGCACCGCGTCACAAAAGCCGACAGACAACCCACTAGTTCATGTCGTTCGCCAGTTAGTTAGTGCCAGCGCCGTGCAGGAATTACATGAAATACTTTGCCACACTTACATGCTATTTCAGAGCAAATATTCAGAGCATCATGGTAAACAGTATAGGAAGGCTGTCATTGCTCAAAAATGACCCAATGTGAATATAAAAGCAACTTCACCCCAATAAAGCAGGCTAGGCGGAATAGCGCTATTTATAGGTGTTTTGTTGTTAAACTAAATATAAATCTACATTATAGATGCTGTCAAAGAACCGTATGAAACTGAAAATAATCACATCAATCTTTAACCGGGAGATTTCAGTGGCTGAACAACACGTCTGTGCATGTAAGTCATTCATAACAACACAATCTAACATAAGCTTAGCCTGACTAAAATAGTTTTAAAACAGAACATGACCTGTCTAACAGTGATACTTCAGCCATGGTATCGTCCTTCCTCCAGCGTGCTAAAGTAACTCCAATATTGATTCAGGATTTTAAAAGTTTCAATTTAGCTTTTGATTTTTCCCGGTCCATCTCGTGACTGCACGGCCGCTTTAAGGGCGAATTATACCCGCGCCTGGCTATACAGTAATCGGCCCGAGCTCGGCTGTCCTTCGGCACCTCCAGCTCCAACTCGCCATCTGCGAGCGGCCCGCAGCTCTCTCGGAGCGCATGCGTTTGTGATGCAGATGGGCACGCGCTAATGGCGGATCTGCGTAAACACAAGCGCAGAAGTCGGAATCTACATTTGCTAATAGACAGTCTGACCAGCTTATCGGAATTAAGGGAGATGACGGTCCGACTCTATTTAATTGGATGAACATTTTTTAGTTTTATGCCTTTCCCAGAATATAAAAACACATTTAGATCATTTACTGTAATCATTACTATTGGACTTTGAAGAGACTTTCAACCAGCACAACAACACATGTTTCTGAAGACAATCACCTACTGCACCTTTAACTTAAGTTTCATGTTTTTGGATGGCAAGAGGAAACCAGATGGAATCCACATGAGCACGGGGAGAACTTGTAAACTCTGCATAGAAATGTGGGTTAGGACTAAAACCAGTGACGTTTTGGCTGTGAGGCAACAGTGCTAACCACTGGGCCACCCATCTAGGAAAGGAGGATTAGGGGTGGAAGGGGGATTATTCAAAACAAAGATGGCTGTGATGTGGAATTTAGGTTATTTATCGTGCCTTAGGAATCATCTGATTGGTCAATCATGAATTAGCTAATGCAGGACCAGCTGTGATCAATCATAAGCACATGATCCTCCTGAAATTAGTTTATAAATAAACTTCAGTTGTTTGTGTTGATCATATAAAGCGCAGTACAACAGAACAGAATGATGAGCTGTCAGACGTTTCACAGCTTTATGCCTTTACATTATTACCTGAACCACACAATCTTCAGGACTACTAAATGTGTCAGATCACTTTGTTAAACAGCAAAAGTTAAAGAGAAATCAAGTTCATATAATGGTCTTGGCTGGATCTGTGTGGAGTTTGCATGTTCTCCTCATGTTGGCGTGGGTTTCCTCCGGGTGCTCCGGTTTCCCTCCCAAGTCCAATACATGCTGTACAGGTTAATTGGGTAGGCTAAATTGTCCATAGTTTATGTGTTTGTGTGAATGAGTGTGTACGGGATGCAGCTGGAATAGCATCCGCTTAGTAAAACATATGCTGGATAAGTTGGTGGTTCATTGCGCTGAGGTGACCCCTGATTAATAAAGAGACTAAGTGTAAAAGAAAATGAATGAATGATTGAATGTTCACATAATGCAAACTGTCAACAAATGTAAAACTCCCTTGAATGAAAAACTACAGGAATCTGTTAATCTTGTGCTTCATTAAAATCAATTGTTATATGAATATGAAGATGTTTTGTTATGATGAAATGTACTTATGTTTGAGTAATGTTTTTTTTTTTTAAGAATCGATTATATGAATTCATGAAATCAAAATATAAAGACAGATTTGTGCAACACATGGTGTAAATATTGGATAAGGATGGTGTGTAAAATTGTATAAGTTTGTTGACATTTCAGTTTGACATTATTCAAATTGGCAATAGATTTTTTTCAACTATTTTGCACATGAATCTCAAGGATGTTCTCATAGTATACAGTGATATTTATAATGTAATTGGCTTACTTTCAGGACGACCACCACTTGTACTCCACCGCCTTTCACTCTCTGAAAATAAAATCAACTATTCAGTATGATAAATGATGAATTTAATAAATCAAACATTTAATCATACATTGGCAAATAGGTATATGAAGCTTATATTACAATAACTTGATTTAAATGACCTTCACAACTAATTTAGCAACTTTACAAAAAAGGTAATACTACTAAGTAAATTAATTATATAACATAAAAAAAAAGGGTTTGAAGCTTACGTATGTCAAACTTTCTGGCTACATATGATGTGATTACATCTAGACAAAACAAAAGTAAAGGAGTAAATAAAGACCCAATATAGATTTTTCATAGGAAAGAAAAGCTTCATTTCCAAAGAACAAAGACCCCACTGTAAGGAATATCCATAAATAAGCAGTTTTCTGTATTGCATGATTTTATTATGCACTGTGTTTACCCCACTAAACGTACCCCATTTATTTCTGCTTCTGAACTGCATTATAAAATCTTGAATGTTTTCCTCCAACAACTCTTAGTCTTGAAAAGTTGTAAAAAGTGACTTTTATGAACAGTTTTAATAGTCTGCAGTGCTGTATTGTCTGGGTTGGTGTTGTATATTATGCTACATAAACCTTGAATTAAACTGCCAGTACATTTCCTGACATTGTACAGGCTTATTTCACTAGATATAATTTATTATACATTATATTATTGTTTAAAATTACATTAAAAGTCAGTTTGTTAAACTGTAAAGTTGGATTTTCAAAATCAGAAGTGGACAAAGTGGACAGATAATGTGATTCACCACCGCAAATAAACGGGAAACACTCGTGTATCACGAAATAAGGAAAATGTGAATAAGGAAATGAACAGATTATTTTACAGTTTATATTTCCCCTCTATATATGTAATAAATTATTGATTAATTACACTGACTTCATTACATTTCCAACATTCTTATAATATACTTTCATTTATCAGATGGCTGTATTCAAAGCGACTAACAAAAGAGGAATACAAGGGATACTCTAAATAATGCAACTTTCCCCTCCACACAGCCAAGTTCAAAAATACAACAAGCAGTTTCCTACTCCACAAGCATTAACATTGCAGTAAGATTTCAGCCTGTATGCTCTACTTTATGAACTGATTTATTGCCTACCCATTGTGGCTGTTATTTCTCCACCGCCAGTTGCTCGCGCTCCTCTCAGATTCTTCCTCCTGTCGCGTGCACGCGCTTCGGTTGACGCACAGCAGATTGTTTATTTATTTATTTGACTTTTTGTTTTCACGAGTATAATCAATAAAGGTAGCATAGAGTGGTGAATAAACTGTAATTAAACAAGAGTGATTTAATTCTGATAAAGTAACGGAAGCAAATACCTTGTGATCTGTTCAAAGTGAAACTGAAACCAAGAAGTGGCTTCGACATGTATTATGAATATTGGGCAATCTGGCACTGCTCTTTGCATGAGCTGTTGGAAAGGTAAATTCACCACCTCTATTTCTTCACCTCTAGCTTTTCATGAGGCACTGGTATAAAGCTGTATCCATTAGTTTAATTATGCACATACATAAATCCTTGTCACAATAATAGCTTTAAGTACAAACAACCTCAAAGCTAATTAAAAAAAATTGATAAATTAATAAATAGTTTAATAAATAAACAAAAGCTTTCCTTGGCATGTGGTGATCAATTTGTGATTGATAAAGATTGTGTTGTACAAACTTGTGTCTTTATAATACACTTTAAATAATATTCATCTAAATTATCCACAGTTTTATATAACAACGAAAACATATTAAATGTTTCTATTATTATTATTATTATTATTATTAATATTATTATTATTATTATTATTATTATTATTAATTATGTATACTGAATGCTTGAATAATAAAAGAGGCAGAAGAGTGCCATCTGGTGTACATACACTGAAGCAGTGTGTACATTTTAGTAACCCAAGTGTACACTGACTGTGCAAAAACAGTTGCAATGGTCTAAATCGCCTAAATGAATCCTCAGAGCTATTTAACAGGGTAACACTCCCTATTCTGAAAATTAACTTCAGAACCAGAAAACTATCTAAATCTGTTAAGAATGGAAACGATAGAAGGAACGGCAGTGATTGAGCTTGAGACATATAAACTCTATTCCAGCTCTATTCCAAGCTTACAGCTCTCCACCCAGCTGCAATCCCACTGAAAATGAGTGAGAGAGAGAGAGAGAGGGAGTAGGGCAAAAGAGAGCCAGGTAGCAGTACAGTCCGAACAAAAAAGTCTCCAGAGTGGAAAAGACCTGAGCAGGAGAAGAACAGCGCAGGAAAGGGACAGAGCCAAAGTTACAATATAGTTTTGTCTCTTGCTTGAGCATGTGACCAAAGCCCAAATACTGAGACATTCAAACTGACCAATCTAACCCCAAATTGAGGGTGTCTCACACAGGTGAGTGGGCTTGACATACCAACTGTAGAAAACACATGCTTTCATCTCTCTACACTTTAACCGACACTTACCTAGCATGAACAGTTTTGTATATTTGCACGGTTCTTACAATCAGCACAAAAACACTGTACATTTATGAAGTGCTTCACACAAGTGAGTGGGCTTGATAAACCATGGAGAAACACTCTTCTTTTTCTCTTACTTGCTCTAAAAAAAAACACTTCCCTTACTCTAGCACCTAATCTTCTGAGCACAACTTAATGATGCTGACCGTTCTCAAAGATGACATGTTTAAATGACAGTAAAAACAGGTTGATATTGTCCCCAACCATTAAAACGATAGACTTAAATAAATAAATAAATAAAAAACTCCCCAAAAACTGTAAAAAAAGGTCTATTCCTGATAACAATGACATTACCTCCCACAGACATGTGATGACACGTCATACAAGCAAGTTTACTATTGCCAAAACTTTAATGGAAGCAGTAGTCTCCTATCTTTTGATCTGACATTTAATGGCCTGTTTCCACTGAGTGGTACAGCACAGGTCACCTTTACTGGGCTTGTGGTTCCACTGCTAAAAGGGTACCAGTGGTGATTGTAATGTACAACAAAAAGTTTCTGGGGTCTCGCAACTCAATCAGTTGTTAGGCTTGTAATGCCCCTTACAAACAAACTTTAAAAGTAATGGATCATAAACCAATAAAATGGCACCATTGTCAAATTCTTAAAAAAAAATAACTTGTTGAGTTTGGATGTTTTTTTTTTTAAGTTTTCATTTTTAAAAACCATGTTTAAGTGTATACATGGTTTTGCTCCTAAAGTAGTCTGTACATAAATTCAGCAGTAATGGGGCAAAGACTAGAGGTGTAGTGTGTGGGAATTGTAGAATCTGCAGATGCAGAACCGCAGAACTGTGGGTCAGTCATCCTCTTCAGTAAAAGGTTCACATCTATGGAATGTCATGCCTGTCGATTTAAAGAACTCTCAATCAGAACTCTTAGGTTTTTTTTTTTTCTGTAAAGCTGAAAGAATGGTTGAAATCTTTACAGCAATGTGAACATTAGGTATTATTCTTTCAGGTTGGTCACGTTTACATTTCTCTTTCTGCAGATTGACTTGCATTTTATGTTTGCTGTATTGCGTTTTATTCTTGATATTTTTTTATTTTTTAATGTAAAGCCTAACCAGGGACAAGGGCTGCTAATTAGCTTTATGCTATTTGCTTTATGTACGCAACATCGGTTATCTTTGTATAACAATGTAAAGTGTATTGTCCCTGTAAAATAGACAAGCAAATAAAGAAAAAAGTTCATTACTAACCTTTCTATCAATATGATTTGATTTAAACTGCAGATCAATAGCCAAGTTTCCACTATCGCGCCTAAAGCGAGCGAGCTAGGGGCTTTCTCGGGGCCAGTGGCCGGCCTTTATCGGCCCGCCAAATACCTTGGGCCAAAGAGGGCCAGCTGGGGCTTTGGGACGAAGTGAGAGGCGGACACTAGTTTTCCGATCACACACGAGTACATGCGCCAAATAAATAAATAAATAAATGAGTGAAAGAAAACATCTAGCCTTATAAGCTTGAGGTCTTTTTGCTTACAGTATAATCATCCTTATGTTTCTCTTTTAAATGTAAGGCTGTTGCATAAAATAAGAAAGTTTTCATTCACATGTGACTTTTCTTTGCTGCGTCCTCCTTGATGTTTCAATAACGCATAATAATCTTTACACCATATTAAAGACACACCAGATAGTAAAGGTTTTCTAGAGTTTTTTTTTTAAGTTTAAAAGGTGTGTTTGTGCCTGTTTACATGCCTGTATGTGAATGTGAGACTGAGCAAAAGAGCGCTCCCTTTAAAGCTCTGTTGATGCCGTGAGCGGCTTTTTTCTTTTCTTTTTTTTTTTTGAGATAATACACAATATGAACACAACAGAAAGACAGAAAACTCAACAAATGACGTGTCCATTTTTGTAGGCTCAAAACAATAGTGTCATATCTTGATAAAATAGCCTAAGCTATATTGAAATATAATTCAAAGAATTACAAATATTGGATATAATAAAATTGCATTAAATAAACAAACCAATACAATACATAAGTCAAACCGTTTTAAAGCCAAATTAAACTTTTATTTTACAAAGGCCTCTCTGAAAAAAAAACTTTTGATATTTTCTAAAAACAAACACTAGAGAAGGCTTGAAAAATTATTTATTAAGTATTTGGATATGTTGATATTAATCAAATCCTGCAAACAGAGCATTTTTGGGTTGAGTGAAAACAGAAACTAGGCAACCTTCTTTTCTGTCACGCAGTCCTGCACAGCTCCACTTTACAGACGCAACGGGGAAAACTTCTAATACAAAATGTGTTCTGTTGTTGATGTTTTCAAATGATGTGGTCAAATTTAAAAATGAAATTTTAAATGTAGAGCTTTAGCCTATAAGTGAATACCTGCTGAGCAACGAAATATAGGCTATATTTTATTACTTGCTCTGATGTGCTGAATAAAGGGGAATCACCTATTAAGTGTCATAAAGCCTATAGGGAAAAAATAGTTTCAGTTCTCTCCGGAGAATTTGGGCTGAATGTTTGACAGCGTCT